TGCACCATAAGCAGTTATGAATCCTCCTGAATTAGTTGAGTTGATGTCAATTAATGCTTTGGATATGTTTAATTCAGAAATTTGTTGAATGAAAGACTGTGATAAAGGGTTAATTTTTTTTCTTTATGCATTAAAACGGTACACTTGGCACAAAATATTTTGCTAAGGAGTGGAGTAGTTGTCTTCAAGAATTTTGTCTTTTCAATAGGCTCCAAATCATCGGATTTGCAACAGATTTACAATTTAACACTAACTGCGTTACATTTATACATGAAATTTTTAACTCCTGTGTAAATTTTATATTTTGCACTTTTTAATTTGCTAGGTACTCTTTTTGTGGTGGTTTATATCGAAGTTGGCGTAATTTCAAGTCAAAGGTCGATGTTGGTACCTCTTTCACACACCCATATTTTAATATGCTGCATTGATTTCTCGCAATCCCTTTCCATTTGTGAAATCGTGCATAGATATTAGTTTGGATGCATTCATTTCTGTGCACGTCAAAACATTATGGCTTGAACTTGCATTGATCAGTATGTCTTTTAAAGCCTTTTTATACAAAAAATACAACTACATATCAATGTTATTCCCTCTACGCATTCGACGCCAACGTGCTTCTGTTGCACTTTATCAGTCAAGAAGAAGCCTGCGGGCTTAGGCGAATTCGAGACCTAAAAGTGGCCTAAAGTCAGGATTAGGCAACTATAAATTCCAATTGCAACACTAAGTTCATTAAATTTTACAAATAGCGACGTGATTACGTCATTGCCATCTTATACGCTCCTCGATATATTCGTTTCCATAAATAACCGTCAAATTTGACGTACACTTCGCTTTGATCATAGATAAAATGCAATAAGTTGGGTGTTTGTTTAACTCTAGGTTTTGGTAAAGGGCAACTTTGTACCCCCACCATTGCACCTTCACTAGGTGGGCTGGCCTCTGCCGTATCAGTGGTGTAGCGCGGTCCTCGTCCATCTCCTCTTTGCTGGCCTTCATACCCTTAGAACGAAGCGATTGATTGGA